TAGATCCAGAACAATTCCCTTGCAGGCAGTCACCAGTGTGTTCAAAGAACTAGGGCAAAGATCTGGTTGTGTAAATACAATCCAAGCCAGGACACAGAGATTTGTGCAAATGAAAGCTTCTGTCAGCTGCTTTTGGTGGCTGTACTAACACTGCAGAAATGACAGAATGCCAAATTGCCCCACGGGGTCAGGTGGTTGAAGTGGTGATACAAGCACCTGGAGGAGGCGCAGTGATGCAGACAGACAAAATCCAGGGGTCAATGTTGTGGCACAGTAGCTAAAGCTGCAGCCTGCAGTGCCAGCATCCTATGTGTATGTTGGTTTGAGTCCTGGCTGCTCCACTGCTGATCCTGCTCCTGGGAAAGCAGTGGAACTCAGTCTGTGGATACTGGCCACCTATATGAGACACCTGGATGAAGCTCCTGGTTCAGCCCCAGCCATCTGGAAGGTGTACCAGCAGATGGAAGAACTCTCTTTCTCCCTCTCTTCTGTAACTCTGACCTTCAAATAAACAAATACATTTTAAAAAACAAGATCCAGAAACCCAGTAGCTAAACAGTCTCTTGACAACCCCTCATTCTGCCCTGCTTGTTCTGTTCACACCCAGCATGACACTTCAGTGACATGGGAAGGGAAGTGACTCACTAATCCCTAACATCACTTTTGAATCTGGGCACCTCAGATAACGCCCAGCTTTCCCGCTTTTACCTGTGATAGCCTTTTCATACAACCTCATTCAGTGCAGGCTGTGTTACACAATGTGTCAGCGCCCGGAGTTGTGCAACTATAGGGGTGGAAGCAGAGTTGAAAAACTGGTCTAACGTCAGTGAGACACTGATTTCGCAACAGCAGCAGATGCACACACTGTCCCTTAGATTATATAACTGATAATTGGCAAGCACAATGATAGGAAAGTAAGATCACCACTTTGGGCTTGTCCCCTAACCCTTCCTTCTTGGTCGTGCAAAAAACTAAGTTTTCAACAGTCCTGTCTTTCCTCTATACTTGTATTGTGAATTTCAAATTGATACATCACACTGTATCACCCTGACTTCTTTTCTCATTACCTTTATATAAAGGGGTAATACTTCAGATTCTATCATTTGCTTCTCAACTGAACCTCTTCATTACAGTTTATCATTGCAGTCTTCAAAAAGACATAATTGGCACTAAGCAAGGCTTACATGTCACATTATATATATATAAATATATATAACATATACATATATTAAATATAAATATTTTATATATATATATTGGTGGAAGGTTTAAAGAGTTTAGACACTGTCCCAAAGTGTTTCTATCATTGCTTTCTTGGGAGTTTTCAGAGTCAAAGAAATGGGATTCACTAACAGCAAGTAGGTAGAACTGGATTCTAAATCTAAGTTAACTTGGCCATCATGTATGCCTCAACCTTCTTTCTTGTAAAATGGAGCATCATGTCCTGGGAGGTCTGATACTGAGAACAGTGGAAAACAGAGGATTTCAACACTTAGCCCTGCTTTTTTGTTTGGTTTTGTTTGTTTGCCTTAAAACTCTGAGATTGGTACTTTATAATGCTCTGCTCTGCTTTCCAAGTGCTAAACCTTGCTCTCACATCTGTGTTGAGTAGCAAATGAGAGGTCATCTGTTAAATCTCCCCGGTGTCTGCTCCCGGCATCATTTAGACACCTGCGGCATCAATGGCCAGATCTGAAGCAGTCAGCGGCTTCCTCTGAACACTGACTGGTGACTTCTGAAGTCCCTTTAGAGGTAAATTGAGGGGGGGCAGTCAATATTGTGGCACAGCTTGAGCTGTGAGCCGGCATCCTATATCGGAGTATCCCCCAGGTGTCCCATTTCAGATCCAGAACCCTGCTAATGTGCCTAGGAAAGCAGCAAATGATGGCTCAGGCACATGGGCTGCTGCCACCTACACTGACCATCAGGCTGGAGATGAAGGTCCTGGTTTCAGCCTAACCCTGTGGCCACATGGGCAATGAATACCCAGTGGAGAGAAGACTTCTTTCTCTGTCTCTTCTGTCACTTTGTCTTTCAAATACATTTGAAGGGATTAACCCTTTAAAGGAGAACTTGGTCCACTGGACTCCTGGGGTGTAAAAGCTCAGGTAGGATGGGCAGGGTTAAACGGCAGCACATCTAGATTGCTGAAGGCTGAAGCAGCACTGTCTACCTTCATATCAGATCGATGAATTTATTCATAACCACATGTTGCTCCAGCAAAGGTGTCCAGTGGCTCAGTGAGAACCAACTGCTTAGTACTGGCTGCAGGTGGACCCTGCCCAGCAACTTCACTTAAATCTCAATCTCAATCTCAGCGCTATGGATGGCTTCCCCTTCTGTGCAGGGCCTACTTTCAGGCGCAAGTTGGTTGCTGAACTACACTTGCCTGCACAGATGCCTATGCCTCAGTTGGCCATGCAGAAAGGACAGGGACTGGATAGTTCTAATGGTAGTGGGTGCCCGCTCTGCACTCTCCGATCCCCGCAGCTGGGGCATGAGCCGCTGTCTCTTACTGAGGTCCCATGTCCTGCAGCTGGTAGCTCCAGAACTGTGACTCAAGTCTCAGGATTGCAAGCATTGCCATGTGGGTGTCGTCCAGGAAATATAGGAATGTCTCCTGCTGCCAGTCGGCAACCACTGATACAATGACACACTAACAAGTGATGGGAGGGGACAGCATGGCCCCAGCAGTGCTAGAGCTTGAAGCCCGGAGATAACGGAGGAGGAAGAACCAAAACCACCAAACTGTAATAGACGGGTGCTCTCATCTTGACGCGGTTGGGCAACACGTGTGGGTCAGCACGCGCAGCACGGGTGCCCCGAAAAGGGGAAACGTTGTAAAACAGAGACAGCGGAGCAAGGTGAGGCGACTGCATAGCAGCCTGGTAGGGACCATGCAGCGCCGCCCGCTAGCCCAGCGGTTACTCTCCAATTGTACAGTTGCCTATAGCTCGGAAACCGCGGTGGGGGAAAAAAGCAAACTAGACAATAGGGAAGAGGAGGTTGGATACTAGGAGAGTGAAGCCCTGCACAGGCTTGGTGGGTTTTCCACGTCACTACTTCTCTACCGCTCCTCCCACACCTGAGCACTCACTGCTGGGCCCACTGCACTTGGACACCACTGGCCAAGGTTCCCCCGCCCCACACCCATTTCGGGAAGCCATGGCTCAGACGGAGGACAATACAATAATGTAATCTAGCGGTGAAAGGTGGGTCCGGCTGGGGTACCCAGGGCAGGTGAGCGGACCTGGGGCCAAGTAGGCGGCGAGGTGGCCCCAACCCGAGAATCTCTGGACACCCGCGTCCCAGCCCCGCGAGCCCCGGGGGGCGGGCCAAACTTCATTCCAACTTGGAGCCAGGGGAAGGGGCGTAAGCAAAATCAGAAAAGAAAAAAAAAAGGTGGGGGGGAAGGAAAAAAGTTGCAGAACTTTTCCCCCGTCAACTAGTCCGCGGAGGCGGGATCAGAGGGCGGCGCCTGGCTCCGATTCGCCCCACGCCGGCGCCGGGAGGCTCGGATTGGCGCTGCGGGTCCCGGGCCGGGAGGAGCGGGCGTGGGGGAGGAGCGGGCGTGGGGGAGGGGAGCGGCCTTCCCCGCCCGCGGGATCGGCTCGCGCCGGGAGCGGGTTAATTTCAAATCGGGGGCTTGACTGCTCCAGGACGGCCACGCTCCCTCGGCCCGCCCGTCGGCCCGCCCGTCCCCGGCCCTGGCGCCTCCCCGGGGCACCCACCTCGGCGCGGCGGGAAGACGGACCGCTCGCCTCCCCGCCGCCCACGCGGGGCCCCCGGACTCGGGGCGGGGAAGGGGCGCGGGGGACTGCCGGCTCGGCCCTCGCCAGCTCCGGCCGTGAGGAGGACTGACAGGTGAGCGGGGCGCGGAGCGGCGCGGCCCGGGCGCCCGCAGCGGGCTCGGCCGGGCGGCGGCCGTTTCCCGCCTCCCGCCCCGCCGGGGGCCGCGGAGGGAGGAGCTGGGCTCCCGCGCGGAGGGCGGGGCGGGCGAGGGGGCGGGGCGGCCGCCCGCGGTTCCGGGCGCGGGTTTGCCCGCGCTCCAGCCCCGCGCAGCTGAGGGGCGGCGCCGGCCACGGTCCGGCTTTCCGCGCCAAATTTTTAAATCGAAGGCGGAAGGTCCGGCCCCGCCCTTGGTGCGGCCAACCAATCGGAGGCCCGCGGCGGCCTCTCGGATTGGTCGGGAGCCGTTGCCCTGGAAACCGCGGAGATGCTGTCCGGGAACTGTGGGGCGGGCGGCGCGCCGGCGGGGCCTGGCGGGGCGGGGCCAGTGGCCGGGCGCGGGAGAAGGCGGCGGCGGGGGCTCCGTACCTGGGTGCGTCGCGGAGCTCGGGCAGCCTGCGGCCGGGGAGTCCAGCTTCGAGCGGGCACAGGCCCGGAGAGCGAGCGCCCAGCGCTTTTGCATCTTGAGGAAAGTTGCTTTTTTTTCCCCCTAAGTCTTCATCACGAAGCGCTCTTTTAAATGCCCAGTCGTAGTACGCTTAGAGCTTAGGGACTGAATCTAGAAGTTTTGTGTCCAGCAACTGGCAAGACCTGACTGCTGAGCCTGTGCACGTATATCTAGGGGCGGAATCGGGCACCTAGATGCAGCCTGGTGTCCAGATCCTCGGGGCGGTGAGTGCGCGGCCGGGACCCGGGCTCGTGCGCTGCATGCGGAGTCAGGATTCCTGGACAGGTGGGTGCTGTCCCCTTTCCCCGGGTGGCGAGCGGGGGGGGGCCTGCCTTCTCTGCAGATTGGACAGGAGAGGGGCTGCTAGAAAGCCTCGTGACAGCGGATCGGTTTGTCAAACGAATTTCCTGGCATGTGCTGGAGTTTTCTGCCTCGCGGGGCTATCTCTGATCTGGAATAAAATAGATGTCTAGTTTGTCACTTTTCGTTAGTGTTTGTCCACACGGTCTCCTGGCTCCTTAGAAAAATGTTTAACAGAAAAGTTCCTGGTTGTTATTTTCCTCTAACTTTTTCTAATCCTCTTCCTTTTTTTCCCCCTCCTTTAAGGCTATTAAAGGTTTCCATAGAGTTGATTGGCCTAGTGGAATCATTGGGATTTCGGGAGCATCTCCAGATTTGCGTTTTTAAAGGAACTCTAAATGCATGAGAAATTTGCAGCATGGAGAACGAAAAGGTACTTTTTTGTCTTCGTTATTCTTCGCCTCCTTTGAAATGCAGCATGGTAGCTTAACTGCAAGATTTTGAGTTATCCAATACCTCATTAATGTCAAATCTATTTCTGGCTAGCCTCTATGAAAACCTAGAGGGAAGGGAAACTTAGTTATTAAAGGGGAGTAGATTAACTCAGAGTTCAAGTAATCTTTCTAGGTTTTTAATGATTTTGGCGGTAGATGTCTCAAAGAGATGAACAGGAAGGGTATTTTTAAGAAAAAACAAAATGTCTGTCACATTGTGATATTTCTACATGTTTTTGAGCAATGGGGGCTCAGAAGGGGCACTGGACAGGATCTGAGATTGGGTTTCTTTTCAAGGTAGTTTTCTCCGAAGTTGTCAGCTTTCTTTTAACTGTTGGGGCCTCAAAATGCTTTTCATGATGTAAACATTTTGTTGAAGTATAGAAAAATTCAGTGAGGCTGGGTAGATTGGTGTCCAACCTCTGATTGGTTTTTTAAAGGGTGAAATTATAGACATATGTTCTGAAAATTTAGATATTAGCCAAATATGATACTTACAGTTTCTCCTGGTAGTCTGAAGCACAGGACAGCGGCTGTAGGGAAAAAAAAGAAACCATCCTGGGGTCGGTGACCTGTTCAAGGATCCTCCATGAGCTGCATCACGCTGGTTCCCACAGAAGCCCAGGTCCGAGTGCCAAAGGATCTCTCTCAGTCTGGATGCTCTCTGCCTTAGAATAGGAATGAGGGATGCAATTAGAAACACTGCAAAATGGTCCCAGTGATGCACATTCCCAAAACGGTTTCACTCATGCCATTCCAAGGGCTTTCTTTAAAGCAGATACGGATAGGAGTGGGTGAGTTCCCTAGTGTCCAAGAGTGGAAGGAACATGGTCTCCGTGGACCCGCTAGGGCTTTATTCCTTTCCTGGAGGCCAGCTCTGCGACTCTGGCTAGCCCATTTCACTTCTCTGGGCCACATTTTCTCCGTGTGTGAAGTGAGAGGCTGGGTATTCAGAGATGAGACTGCTCTAGTAAGAGGGCCTGCTTCTAGGCACTCCGGTTAGTCTGATCGTATGCTAAGCCTCACCTTATCTCCTTGAGCCCCTGACTGTTGCACGTGAGTGGTGGTTTATTGAGCACCCAATGCACACAGCCACCGGGCAAGCTGGATAATGGTTTCTGCCCTGGAGGCCATTGCTTATTATAATGTCTGGACTAACAGTCACTTCTAAGCAGTTCAGGATCACTTGCATCAGGTCTGTTTGGGCTAGCTGGATGAAGGGTATATGGCAGCTCTGTACTATCTTTGCAATCCTTCTCTAAATCTAAAATTGTTTCAAAATAAAGTAAAAATTCATAACTAATTTGTTTTTTTAATTCTTATTTTCCATTTTACTCTTATAGGGCTTCCCTTCAATTTTTTTTTTTTTTTTAATTCTTACAACATGAGATGGAAACATTTGGGCCCAATTAGGTCTGGAATAGTTAAAAATATGGGGATATTAGTATTAGCACAAACAGTGTCAAACAGTATTGGAATGTACATAATAACATTATCTTTATAACCTCATTAGACATTTTTGTTCTTATCCATAGTCTATTTGTTGTATAATTTCTAGAGTTAAAAACTGATAAATCCTGTTTCACAATTGATTGTTTGGTTATTATTTGTCTTCTAAACCAGGAAAATCTCTTTTTTGAGCCACATAAAAGGGGATTAATGAAAACACCTCTGAAAGAATCCTCTACGGGAAATATCGTGCTGGCTGAGCTCCAGCCCGACTTCGGAGGCTCCTTGACTACGCCCACCAAGCCCAAGGAAGTCTCCCAGGGAGAGCCATGGACGCCAACAGCCAATCTGAAAATGCTTATCAGTGCTGTGAGCCCTGAGATCCGAAACAGAGATCAGAAAAGGGGGTTATTTGACAACAGAAGTGGATTACTTGAGGCCAAAGACTGTTTACATGTAAGTTTTCAGAAGACCAGGTAGAGACTGGAGGGAGGTGGCAGGGGTATGGAGGGACAGTTGATTGAGGCTTTTGTGGGTGCTCGCATTTAAAGCATCACCACCGTAAGCTGATAGCTAACCCCCACCAAATATAGCAAGGGGAATTCAGAACCTTCGAGTTATTTTTCATCTCAGACTTCCTCTCTCCCTGCACCGAGAAGTTTTATACCTGCTTTCTCCACCTTCCTCCCCACCCCACCCCTGTCCCCCCCCAAACCTTGCAGCTATAAGAGGCAAGATTGTATGTATGTGGGTAGACCACCAAATACAGATGACCAGCACAAATGGGTCACATTTTGTTCCTAAAGAAGGCATGCTTTACCTCTTCCTTTGTAGGAACATTTATATGGAGATGAGTATGAGAAATCCCAACCCAGTCGAAAAGAGAAAAGCTTAGGACTCCTGTGTCATAAATTCCTGGCACGCTATCCCAACTATCCCAACCCAGCTGTGAATAATGACATCTGTCTCGATGAAGTGGCTGAAGAACTTAGTAAGTACCACATTCCCTGAAATGGATCAGTTAAGACTTAACTCCTTCATACCAGTGCTCACCTAACCAGGGCTGTAATGACACAAATAAGGACATGTGGATATTATGCAGTCTCTGAAGTCCGCTTAATTTGTAAATAAAGATAAGTAATTTCTAATTGTGTAAATCTCAGGTGATAAAAAAGGTTTAGAAGGGAGGTTTCTCTCATAATAGATTGTTTCTGAAATGTCAAGGAAGGCAACATTGTTTTAACAACTAGTTTCACAAAGAGCCGCAATCCTGGGCCTCTCCTTAAGCAGCCAGGTTGCTGAGTGGCATCTCCACATGCTAAACTGAGGATCAGCTAAACTCTGTGGTGCAGACTGGAACATCCCTGGCCCTGAGCTACTGTTTCTGAGCTGAGTGGTTTGTGTTTTACCCCTCTTATACCATCCTTCTTCAACCTGAATCTAGTTACAGCTAAAGGCAGGGAGGGCAGTTAAGACAAATATGGGCCACCTTTGGAGTCATGGAATTGTCTTTCTTTTTTTTTTTTTAAGGATTTGTTTATTTGAAAGGCCCAGTTCACACAGAGAAAGGGAGAGGCAGAGAGAGATCTTTTGCCAGTGTCCCACCTTCCTCCCCACCCCACCCCTGTCCCCCTGGATCATAAGTAGAGCAGCTGGGGTGCAAAGCAATGCTCACACAGGATGCTGGTTATTACAGGTTGCAGCCTCATCCATTGCACTAGAATAATAGCCCTTAAAATTAGCTTGACCTAAAACTGAAGAGATGAGCTGAATAGGATAATGCATTTTAACACACAGCTGTCACCCTACAAAGAGAAGTTTTACCCTTCTTAGGATTATAAATATCAACTTTCATGTTTTAAGAATGTGCAATCTAAGCTCATCTACTTGACACACATATTTAATCCTTTAGCCAGGTAGGATATACTCTTATTTGCAGATATCTCTTGGTCACCTATTAGTGCCAGGCAATGTTATACATTAGCATACATCCAGAACAAAAGGGAGACATCTCTTCTCGTGGGAGTTCCATTCTAATAGGGTGGCAATACTGAACAAAGAGGGTAATGCATAAGTAATGAGCATTGTGTTAAGACAGTGTGCCGTGGAAATAAGAAAATGTGCAATGGGGTTACAAGCATGCTGGACTTTAAATTCAGGTGTGAGATCAGGCCTCACTGAGCTGTGCCCAAGTAGGAATGTGAAAGAAACAAACCCATGTGTGAAGTTGACATGGTGTGGAGTATCAGAAACCCAAGTTGAATAGAGTCAAGGAAGACACAGAATTACTGATACATTAATGGTAGCTAAAAAGTAGCTGAAATTAGAGATGCAGACCTGCATATATGTGAGGGCTTTCACAAAACCACGTGGTTTTTGCACTTTTCTGAAATCTTAGCACTTGGTACCTTTTGTAAAGCTGTTCTAGGAGGATGTATGTGTGTCTCTGTGTTGCAGGAGTTACACAGGAGTGGTTTAGAAAACATGGGATTTGGGATAGAAAAGGCTTGATTTTGCCACTTTTTGGCTCTGTTCCCTGGGATAAGTTACCTAGCTGGTCTGACTCTCTAGAGGGCAGATAAGAAGAGCCATCTCACAAGTTCAGGGTGAACAGTTCCTAAAGCTGTTTGGCACATGCTGGGTTTCATTATTTTTCATCTTCTTAATTCATGTTAAACCTTATTTGTATCTTTGGAGAGCAGGGTCAAGGCTGTGACCTTCTCAGTTTGTAGTGTGTATGCTGTTATAGAAAATTGAGTTCTATGATCCTCTAACACACTGAATTAATCTCCATCCCAAGCCTCTTAAAAAATCTGATGTCCAGTTGCATGACCTTTGTAGATGTGGAGCGACGACGAATTTACGATATTGTGAATGTTCTCGAGAGTTTACACATGGTGAGCCGCCTTGCCAAAAACCGGTACACTTGGCATGGGAGACATAATCTCAACAAAACCCTTGGGACTCTGAAGAGTGTCGGGGAGGAGAATAAGTACGCCGAGCAGATAATGATGATTAAAAAAAAAGAATATGAACAGGAGTTTGACTTCATTAAGAGTTACAGTATCGAGGATCATATCATCAAATCAAACTCGGGCCAAAACGGACACCCGGACATGTGTTTTGTGGAACTTCCTGGAGTGGAATTTCGGGCAGGTGAGAGATGGTGGGGAAAAGCCCCTACAGCCTGGCACTTCTCCTGGGTCTAAAACTAAGGTCTTGAGGTACAGAACATTGCCCTTGAGCTATTGAGGCCATTCCTGGTAAAACGGTGCAGTTGTCGGCTGTGTGATCAGGTGGTGATATTTTTAGCCTTGTTACTTTAGAAGTCATTTGTCCCTTCATGAATTTTAATTCCCTAATCCTCTTTCTTCTCCAAAGCCTCTGTGAACAGCCGCAAAGACAAGTCTTTAAGAGTGATGAGCCAGAAATTCGTGATGCTGTTTTTGGTGTCAACGCCTCAGATAGTGAGCCTGGAAATTGCTGCCAAGATTTTAATTGGGGAGGACCATGTAGAAGATTTGGATAAAAGCAAGTTCAAAAGTAAGTGTCATTGGGGCCCTGTTATTAAAATCTTAGTTGAGGCTGATTTCCGAATGCACCTACCACGCAAGCAGTTCTCTACTCTTGGTTTGTTATGTCCTCTTTTCCTGAAGCCAGGGTGGTCTGGACCTGGCGAACAAACAGAACTCAAAGATTTGTCTCGGTATCCTCATTCGCCTGACCCTGAGACTTCATCTGGTTGCCCCTTTCCACATGAGTAGAATCAGTTACTGTTTGACATTTAAATGAAAAGAAGAACATTGTGACGTGGGGCTGGGACCCATGTCTCATTCCACTGATACTGACACAAGAAAGAATAAATAACTCAGTCCCCTGAAGCAACCCGCAGGCTGCCATTCTGCCATTTAGAAGGAATGGCTTTGGCCGGATTCCCTGCTCTAAGTTCTGTAAGGACTGTAAACTCGGTTCCTGATCCAGGGCTGGAGCCTTGCAGCTATGCAGGACCAGATGTTGCAGGACCCACCAGGAACAGAAGGAGGAGAGAGGGAACAGGTGTAGAAAGTGGGGCTCAGCAGTTGAGAGGTCTGCTGCAGGTGAGCCTAGATGGGGCCACTTTTAGGAACTGTTTTGGGAACTCCTGCACCCACGTGCTTCCATCCTGGGAAGTTTTACTAGTCGCATAGAGGTGTGTCTGGGTTGACAGAATGAAGTAAAGGCTGGAATGCTGGCACGGGACCTGGGTGATCCCAGGAGGCATCCTGAGCCTCCTGATGAGTTGTCTACTTTTTTGAGTCTGTAGTTTGCAGCTGTCTCTGTTTAAGTGGTTTCTCACAGCCTTGGAGAAGTATTCCAGGAATTACGGATGTGTAATTTCTTGAATTCCCCAGGGATTTTAGAACTGCCCAGCCTGGCTATGGAGAGGAAGGGCTCAGTTTGTCAATTTGTGTTGTTAACGTGGAAGTAAACACAAACTTGTATAACAGTACGGAAGATTTTCAGCATCAAGGAATCTACCTTACATGGTCCATAAGACCAATATAAAGTTTTACACATTTTGTGAAGTATAGTGTTTTTGGTGTTTATGGTATAAACTCCATCTTGTTAAATTATAGGGAGCAAAAAAGCAACGCAGCTATCACTAATACTTTGTTTCTGTTCATAACATCGTGCATGTCATCATTAGGAAGCAGCTGGAATCTGTAGCATGGGTCTCAATAGCATCTTTCAAGTCACTGTTGCTTTTTCAGCATGTTTTATTGTCATCTCAAAATCCAGGACTAGCAGTAAATAAGTCTTTTAAATATTCAAAGCTATTTTATTTGTCATTTTAATTAAATCAGTAGCATAACTTAAAAGGAGTTACATTTCTCTGACATTGACGGTTAGGATACTCTTAGGATATGTCTGAAGTCCTTAGGAAGCAAAATCCTTTGATCTTTGATGATTCCCTTCAGTGGTGTGTGTGCTTTCTTTTTATCCAGCAAAAATCAGAAGATTATATGATATAGCTAATGTCCTGAGTAGCCTGGATCTTATCAAGAAGGTTCATGTTACAGAGGAAAGAGGTCGAAAGCCAGCTTTTAAATGGACAGGCCCGGAAATTAGTCCAAATACCAGCGGTATGTGTTTTTGCTTTTGTTGTAGTTGTTTTTAACTCTTTCCTTCTCTGCTTCATTATTTTGAACTGATGCACATTTGGAGATGTTCTCCCCTTCCCTCCGCCCTATGCCCCCCTCACAGAAGGGGCATAGAAAAATGGGTGGAAAGATAAAGAGTGCGGGTATAGAAAGTGGGCTACTTGCTACATCATCACCTGTGATCCGTAACCACCCCCAGGCTGTGTCCAGGAAGCAGAATCGCATAGGAAAGGACTGCAAACATAAGTTGTGATGCTGTTGTTATCCTGCTGCTCATTGTCCGGGCAGAGGACATCAAAGGTGTCCATGCTAGTCTCCAGGCAGGGATTCTGGTCCTCATCTCAACTTTGTGATGCTGGCATTGGGCACTCTACCAAGGATCTTCACCCAGATTGGTGGAAAATGGCAAGAATGTGGCCACAGAGGCAGAGGAACTTAGGTTCTGGCCTCAGCTGTGCTGCTTACTATCTGTGTGCCTTGGGCTTGTTGCTTCTTTGAAATTCTTCTCTGAAAAGCAGCGGCCGGCACCTTTGTAGGGTGGGTGTGGTTGTGATTTTGGATCTAATTTCCAAGAGGGAGAGTCTTGAGTGGAGGCTGTGAGGGCCATCCTACTCAGGCCTACGTGCTGCTGGCTGAGACCTTGACAAGATGTGAAATGCACAGCTTCTGCAGCACTCAGAAAAAGAAATGCCACACAAGTACACTGGAGCAGAGCATGGTACTGGCTGGAAGACCCCATCTGCCAACTGTGCCCCTTGAGTTGCATATTCATGGATTCAGATATATCCTTGGCTAGAGCTTTTTTTTTTTTTAATTTTTTTATATTTTTAAGATTTATTTATTGGAAAGTGAGATTTACAGGGAGAAGGAGATATAGAGAGAAAGATCTTCTGTTCGCTGGTTCACTTCCCAAGTGGTCACAAAGGCCAAAGTTGAGCTGATCTGGAGCCAGGAGCTTCTACTGGGCTTTGGGCCATCCTCCACTGCTTTCCCAGGCCACAAGCAGGGAGCTGGAAGGAAAAGTGGAGCAGCTGGAATTCAAACTGGTGCTCATGTGATCCCAGCAGATGCAAGGCGAGGACTTTAGTCACTAGGTTATCATGCAAGGCCCAGGAAATATTTTTTTTAAATTAATGTCTGCTGAACATGTATAGATTTTTTTAAATTGGAAAGGCAGATATATAGAGAGGAAGATCTTCCATCTGATGATTCACTCCCCAAGCGGCTGCAACGGCTGGAGCTGAGCCAATCCAAAGCCAGGAGCCAGGAGTTTCCTCCGGGTCTCCCATGTGGGTGCAGGGTCCCAAAGCTTTGGGCCTTCCTCTGCTGCTTTCCCAGGCCACAAGCAGGGAGCTGGGTGGGAAGCCTCTGGGATTAGAACTGGCGCCCATATGGGATCCTGGTGTGTTCAAGGCGAGGACTTTAATCACTACGCTATCATGTGTTTTTTTTCCCCTTGTCATTATTTCCTAAACAACTCAGTTTGTCATTTCTGCTGCATTTGCACAGCATTTACACTGTATGAGTTATTAGAAATAAGCTAGACAAATGATTTAAAGTGTGTGGAATGATGTGCATAATTTATACGCACATAGCTTGCTATTTTATCTAAAGAACATGGGCTCCCTCAAGTACTGCAGGGGTCCTGGAAGCATCCCTACAGGTACCACGGGCTGACTGCAGGGCACATTCAGACATGTTAAAATGGGAAATTCTTGTGTCTTAAGATTTGTTTAATGGATAAATAAGATGATCCCTACTAAGCAGCACCTGACACCTAGTCAGTGCTCTGTAACTATTGCTACACTATCCCTAAAAATGTCTTAGGATTGCACTTTTCTTTTCCTATCTCAAATGCAGCTGAGCCACCCCTGTCATGGTCCCTTTTCTGTTTCAGACCCTAGCCCCCTCATTCCTTTCACGCCCTCAGACTGGGACGTGAGGCGTACTGCAAAAGAGAGCTGTGCCAAAAACCTCTTCTCCACATGCGGCAAAACGAACTTTACCCGACACCCATCACTCATCAAGCTAGTGAAGACTATTGAGAGTGACCGCAGGAAGATCAATTCTGCTCCCAGTAGCCCTGTTAAGACTAACAAAGGTAGGTTGTTAGGCACAGCCAGGCTCTGCTGGGTGGTACTGCTTTTCACTGGAGGGTTGGCAACTTTCTTAGTCTCAGCAATCCTTGTGGGAGAAATGTTTTAATTTCCATCTGCCCAGATTCCCTTGAATGTGACTTAGGTATAAATTGAAGGACAGAAAGCAATTTTGTGGGGGTTGTCACTGAATTGCTATGTGACTTTGGGGTGCATGTTTTCTGTTCCTTTGACTTTCAAGAGACCCCATCTCCTCAGCTTTAACCAGTTCCCGCTTCCTCTTGTGTTCCAGCAGCCGAGAGTTCTCAAAATTCTGCACCCAACAAAATGGCTCAGCTCGCGGCTATTTGCAAAATGCAGTTAGAAGAGCAATCAAGGTAGGCTGGCACTGTGCTTTCATAACTGTATAAATTACTTTTGCATTGGGCTATTAGGATTAATTTATGCGAGAATAGGCACTAGTCTTGGGAACAGGAGAGATAATCTTTTCCATCTCCTGTTCAATCATTACAGAAACTATCTTGCCAGTTTATTAAAAGCTTGGCTTCAATGTGAGGCTTAAAGTAGTTAGGCATTACAGAGACGATGTATTTCCATTGTGTCATGTTTTAAATCTTATCTTTTAGCGAACCCAGAAAGAAAGTGAAAGTACAACTGGCAAGGTCAGGGCACTGCAAACCAGTGGCTCCTGCGGACACCCCTGTGAACGCTGAGTTGGAACTGACGGCACCATCCCTCATCCAACCTCTGGGTGTGGTGCCCCTGATCCCTAGCCCACTGTCATCAGCGCTGCCCGTAATCCTACCTCAGGCCCCTTCAGGTTCATCTTATGCCATCTACTTGCAACCTGCCCAAGCCCAGACCATGACACCACCCCAGGGCCTAAGCCCAACCATCTGCCCCACCCATTCTTCTAAAGCTTCTGCATCAAGAGACTCCACAGACACCACCACAGAAAAGGCAGCTGGCGATGCCACAAAGACCAGTGCATCCACCACTCCTGGAGGCTTGCTACCAGCCCCAGAGCGACAAGGGACAAAAAGCCGAAGCAGAGAGTCGGCTGGAGAAAGAGGCTCCAAGAGGGCAAGCGTGCCCGAGGACAGTGGTTCCAAAAAGAAATTTAAAGAGGAACTGAAAGGACTTGAAAATGTCTCCACAGTAAGTACAGCCTTAAATTGTGCAAAGCTTTAGCAATTCTTTTGCTGACTATTGGAGATCCATGATGGCTTGTGAAATCGACCAGAGTAAAGAGTGGATTCTCAGAAGACAAGGAGATTTACCTTAGCGTTTTAAAATCCAAACGAAGCACCAGAGAGCTCATGTCTTGGCCGGGATGACAATAGGAATGTTTTTCACCTTGGGAGGAAAGGATTACTTTTTTTAAAACACATGGGTGGTTGTCCCGTTTTTTTTCTCACTGGAATGGGAACACCTGTCACACAAGTGTTGATTTGCAAGCCGGTGTCACCCCTAATTAATAGATGCATGCATGGGCTTCCTGTAACTCCTGCTTTCTGAGTCATTACCTCATGTTCGCTTGATGTCATGGAAACTGCCCCTCTGTTGCCTGGCAGCTGGATGGTTTCCCCATTTGTAAGTTCAACAGAAAATTTAAACCACAACTTTTACTCCATGTAAATAGATCAAAGTGATGTTAGTGAATTGTAGATCTATTTGATGCACTGGTTTCTAAAGATTCTCCTATTCTATATCCTCCTTTCTTTCCCCGGATGGAAATTAGTTCAAGAAACAATTAATATGTGTTTGATGTATACCCACAAACCAGACCTCACAGGTATCAGTACCATCATGTATGAAAGATGGTATCATCAGATAAATATTACTAACATGGAAACAAGTTAATCTCTCATTTTGCTTCCCCACATCTTCCCTGCATCCATAAGGTATTTTTTTTCATCATTTTTTCCTGATGAGTTACTGTGCTGTGGATCACAGCTAACCCAACCCGTGGTGTCTTTGGTGGCGGCTGCTTTTGCGTGCTTGCCCCATGGCTGTATTAGCATTTTTGCAGGGTTAAGTTAATGTATTGCATGATGGTATACATAAAGGAGTTTGTGATCCTTTTAAGACGCCCTATGAGCTGAAGGGTATTACTTGTTACTGTTGTTATGAAAAAAGCTTTAGAGTGTCTCAAATCTTCCCTGAGGATAGTCTCATGGTAACCATTGAAAACATCTATTATCTGACATAGTATCACTTTGCACTTAACATACATGCTAGGGGGAGCTCACAAGGCTTTGGCTTGATTCCATTTTCTGGGAGGTCCATAATCTCTTTGGGCCAATGGGTATGATTTAATAGTGATCCCCTATTGCTCACTTAGTTATTCAGGATTAAGGTTTTCTGTGGATAGATTTTCCAAATCCTTTGCTTCTTTTCTTCCTCTCTATGGATGCATTTTGACCATTTCCTTTAGTGTGGACTGGGCAAAACAAAGAACATGAGAGAGTCCTGTGCTAATCCATTCAATAAATGCGTGTCGACAGTCTGCTTAAGGGTCAGAGGAGAGACAGGATGTGGATGAACAGCAGAATGCTGTGATAGGAAGAGCCATAAGAACACTGTCCAGACCAGATGACATTTAGGCTGAACGGAAGTATGGTGAATTCACTGCTTTTGCTAACTGAAACAAGATTGGCTTTATAGGTTAAAAGACTTTGTAATGAATGTAATTTGTTGAAAACTGAGAAATGATTGTTATTAGAGTACTGTAGGCTTTCCTGAAATCTTGAAAGTGTTAAACCAGCAATCAGATTAACTTGTACCCTAAGAGTGTGTGACTAAAGCAAGCAGAGAGTAGCTACTTGTAAAGCACCTAAAACATTCTCTATTCCTGCTGCTTTCAAGGCAACAATAATACCGGGCACTCAAAAGCAAAATTAAGATCTTGGGGTACAGTTTTAGCCTTGTGGGTTCTGAATTCGCTGGTTCCCGAAGAAAAGACTTAATAACTGATAGATCAAAGGACTGTTGTTTTGACAGTGGAGAAAAAAAAGATCAGAAGGAAGATAAAAGGAAGGTCTCTTAGTATATAAGAGCTGCTTTTGGCATCTGCCATTCCTGTGCAGGGGAAAGCTAAAACAGACCTTTCAAGCTGCTTAGCCACCCATGCAGATGCCTCCAATTTGATAAAGGACAGTGAATTAACAGGCATGGTGGGAGGTGCATGTTCCCAGCACTTTTTATGTTTACTAGAAAGGCAGATTTACAGAGAGGGGGATATTCCTCCACTGGTTGACTTCCCAAATGGTCACAGTGACTGGAGCCAGAAGCTTGTTTCAGGTCTCCCAAGCAGGTGCAGGACCCCAAGACTTTCGACCATCCTCTACTGTTTTCCCAGACCATTAAACAGGGAGTTGGATGGGAAGTGGAACAGCCAGGATATATGGGTCCTGCACCTATGTGTGATTCCAGCAAAGGGAGGTTTAGCCTACTGGGCCATTATGCCAGGCCTAACTCTGGCCTTTTCTACGTGCAGTGTAATATGATTGCCTAGAGCTCCTGCTCCACGGCACATGGCTCTCTACTGTGACTCATCACTTCTCTTTCTCATCTGTGATTTTTGAACTGTGGTGAACTGCATTTGCATATTCTAAGAATGCTTGGTGTCATTATGGCAAAGAGTATTAGAAAAAATACCGGGGGAAACTGTACTTGTTTAAGTTTTTATTGTGAAACAGAGGTCTGAAATCTTTCTGTACAGGGATAAAGAGCAAATATTATTGGCTTTATGGGCTATATATTCTCTTGCAGTTATTTGACCCTACTGTTTTAGCAGGAAAGCAGTTGCAGAAAACATAAAGGGATCAGCATGGCCATGTTTCAACAAAGCTTTATTGACCAAGCTAGGCCAAGGTTGGGGTTGGCTCATGGACCATAGTTTGGCTATTGCCTTCTTTAAATCAACATTTACTTGAAACATTTTCCTTAAATATTAATCCTTAATAGGCCACAAAATCAAGGTTGTCCGGTGGTCTGGAAAATGCTGCATGTGCATACCTCACTTGAAGATTTATCACAGCATCACTAAAATCTCTAGAAAATTCTCTTGCAAAAGCCACCCTTTTACCTCTGCTTAACATGGTCATTTCCCAAACACATTTAATCATGCATCAAGTGATACCTGTTTGCATCATGTAACTATGGTCCCTTAGAATATTCCTTGGGTAAAAACATTTCACATCATTCAAAAAACAAACAGCTAATAACATAGAGGGCCATGGTTGGTGTTCAAGCACATTAAACTTGCCTCTAGGAATTTGCACCAATCATCCATAACCAGGAAGTCTGAGAGCATGTGTCAGGGTGTCAGTGTCAGGGTGTCGAGCTGAGTGAATCATAAACCTAAGCAGGCTTGGTGGTTTTCGGACATCTGCCCAGATTACCGGTGGCATTGATCAAGTGGAGTGTCTATTCTCCAGGGCAAGCATTGGAATGGGTGGGAAGATACTGTTCTCTAAGAGCGAGATGGCTAGCCTGCCAGTGGCCTGTACCATCGGAAGCTCTGGTCCGAGATGAGACAACAAGCAAGGAATGTTAGTCCTGGAAGAGGCACATGGCCATTTTTATTCCTGTAGTATTTGTGTGTAAAATAAACCCTTCTTGTTTTCTAGACCTTGTTCCCATCAGGATACCTAATCCCTCTTACCCAGTGCTCATCCCTGGGGGCAGAGTCTATTTTGTCTAGTAAAGAAAACTCAGGTACACTTTCCCCAAACCATAGGATCTACAGCTCCCCAGTTGCCGGTGAGTATATGCAAAACACCATTCAAATGCAGGCTAGCCTAAGTTCACTTAGGCTTGCAAATTTCTCACAAATATGTTTGGGATTTTAAGATATCCCCCTTTTTCTTTCCAGGTGTTATTCCAGTGACATCATCTGAACTTACTGCTGTTAACTTTCCCTCTTTTCATGTAACACCTTTAAAGCTAATGGTCTCACCAACATCTGTGGCAGCCGTGCCTGTCGGGAATAGCCCGGCTCTTGCTTCGAACCACCCACTTCCTGTCCAGAATCCAAGCTCAGCCATTGTAAACTTTACCCTGCAACACCTGGGACTCATCTCCCCTAGTGTACAGGTATCGGCCAACCCTGGGCCTGGAACCATCCCTGTGTCTCCAAGAATAGAGGCTGTTAGTATCATACCAGAAAATGCAGGTACTCAACAAGGAAGGGCCAACAACTACGATTCACCAGTCCTGGGCCAGAGCCACCTGAATGGACAATCAGTTGCTGTGATAGGGACACAACAGGTGAGCTTTTCATCTCATACAATTTTTCCTTCAATGATTACATCTGAAGTATCTGTGTCATGGAAGCTCTCTTGTTTCCTTGCTTTGGAGAGGGAAAAGGGGGTCAAGTGTTCACCTTCCTTCCAGAACCCAGGAAGAATACCCAGCAAATCCATAATACTGGAGTATATGAGACTTTTTTTTGTCTTCACAAAAGTAGTGAGAATGTAGACTTGTCAAGACTTTGCCAGATGATCCCAGGATTTACCAATTTCCTTATATACAACTCATGAATCTTATATAATCTTGTAAATATCCTGACATTTGTATCCATGTGGGTTTGACTTACTTTTTCCCATTCATCTTTTCCCAACCAGCCTGTTCCTGTGACACCCAAAGGGTCACACTTAGTGACTGAAAATTTCTTCCGTACCCCAGGAGGACCAACCAAGCTGACGGGCTCCTCCTGCGTGGATTTTGATGGTGCTAATAAAACCTCCTTAGGAGCTCTCTTTATCCCTCAGCGAAAACTGGAAGTTTCTACAGAGGATGTCCACTAACTGACTGATGAATGCTGGCTTAGGCTGATTTTCTGAAGAGTTATTTAATACAGAAGATGTATACAGACTGATTTGGAGAACACTTTCTCTGAAAATACTGTAAAAGCATGGAAAGTTTACTCAATGTCAAGCAGATACTTGTTTTTCTACCTACATACAATTATGTACATCTGTGTGCACATGGTATAAACAATGCCATTTGCCTGTAGGGGTATATACAAACACACACACATATACATTTGTATAAAGCTAAGTTCATCCTTCAGTCCTATAAATGTTAAACTAAGATATATATTAACTTCTAGGGAGAAAACAAATGACTTTTTCAGCTGTGCCAATAATATTATGCAAGGTAACTGTATTAAAGTTTACATTCCCCTGAGTAAATGTGTTTGACACGGATAACACAGCATTCTTTTAAATTTTTTTGCACAAAGAAAGCTCTGTGTGATATATAATGTTGTATTTTTTAACAGGAGGGCTGTAGTTATGTTTTTTGTAATTTCTTTTAATTTGTTGTTGCAGTATGTCTTTTTGTAAAGTTTGCAACAATCCTCAATCAAGTCTGGAAAAATTATTTATAAAATGTATTTTTAATCATAAATTGTTCAAATTAAACTTTTTAAAAATGTATTTAACACTTTCGTTTGCCAGTTAGGGCACTGTTGGGGAGAAAATTAGAGTGTATCTATCTCATCTCAGAAGCCAGTCCTTGGGGAGGAGAATAAATTTATCTTGAGTGTCCTTAGCTATGCACAGTTTGCAGAACATTCCTGTGTCATTTTTGCCCTCCACTTTGCATGGCTTTCTCAAAGCTTTGAGATGCTTTGCTTGTCCAGGACACCCAGCTAACGTTCATATGCATTCTACATCGTAGGAGATTAGAAATGAAAGGCAGGAGCAGGGGTGCTCCCTTTCTTGGCCAGCACCACCTCTCTACGAGGCTGCTGTGCTCCAAAGGGGGAAGTGTGCAGCCAGCATGGTCCATCTCCAGGGACAGGAAAAAAGCAGTCAAGAGTGATTTTCTTGACACCCAGGAAACTGAACTACGACACTACACTCATGTGAGCTCAAGAAAAGGAATGAACTGCTAAAAGCAATGTATCCATCCCTTTCCATCCCTACCACTTGTTATGGGATGAATTGCACCTTGAGAGTAGACAAGTACTTTTCCTGGTCATGGTCTTAAAGGGCCATCACAGTCTATTTTCTACATGTTAACTCTATCTAGCACCATGTTACACCTATTAAGGACATGATCACTGCAGGCTGAAGTCACAACCACAAGCTGGTGCATGTAACGACTCAAAACAGCTTCTGGACAAGGTATTTTCAGTTAATGTATATAGCTGTGAGAGGTAGTGATAATTCATAAGAATTCAAACCTGTGTTGACAAGGTCAGTATTCAATATGTCTGTCCCCTTAACCATTTATTATTTCTCTGTGTTGAGAAACTTCAAACTCCCCTCTTCTAGTTGTTTATAAATCATTGTAACTTATTGGTGCTATGTAACTGTACTGTTGTACCTATTATCTGACCTTCTCCCCACCGCTGGCTCATTTCCTAGCCTCTAGTGATCACCATTCTACTCTGCTTGCATGAAATCAACAGTTTTAGGGCTTCATATATAAGTAAGAGTATCTGATGTTTGTCCTGCACCTGGTTGATTCCATTTAAAGTCTGCCCATTCCATTCAAGTTGCTGCAAATTAAGAATCTTGCCTTTTTTATAGGTGCATGGTATTCCTGTTGGATGATCTCCTTTCCATTGCCCATTTACATCCAGATGCATGCCTAGCAACTCTAGTAGGGCCAAGCAAGCCTTTCAGGGTAATCAGAAAATCATAAGGTCATTAAATTACATGCTTTGCATAACCAAGTGTAACTAAGAGGGCAGACTTTCACATTTACCCACAGACCTATTCTACTGAGAGCCTGATATAATCAATTTCTTCCAAAAAGCTTTTGTTTTCATTCTTATCCTACTTTGGAAGACGTGATTTACCTTTGGTATAGGAAATGGCCCTTTTCTTTAAGATGCTTGCAATATAGTTAAGAAAGACAACATTTATACATGAATAAAGCAAGCTGCCAAATGGTAGATCTAGGTACACTAGATATAGTGCTTAGAGGCTATCAGACTCAGTTGCATACCTATAGTTGTGAGAAGCATTAATACAGATTAACTCAGGAGGCTAGCTCCTTAAATTCCAATCCTCTGTAGAGCTCAACTAGAGTGGAGGAGGGCAGGGTTTCGTATTCCCTCATCAATTGTCTACAGATGGGGTACCTGCCAGGGGACTCACACCTATAGGAAGAGGTGAAGTGCATCAGATTTTGAGGCAGCTCTGGAGATGATCCCTCCCAATTCTGCCATCCTGACAGATTGCCCCATTGTCTCAGGATCACCACTTCCTGGTATTCAGGTCCTTGTGTGAGGTAAGATTGGAGATTGCTTCTAATCAGTGGGACATACCAGCGATGACATGGTGTACAGGATTATGTGGTTATGTTACTACATAAGATTGTGATGCCCAGCTTGCAGGAGTCACCTTTGCTAGCTTTGAAGAATCTGAGTAATCATATCAGGGGACCCAACATGCAAGGAACTGGAGGCAGCCTGGCAGAGAAGAAGGCAAATGACAGCCAACAACCAGCAAGGAACTGAAATCCCATATACAGCCAAAAAGAACTAAATTATGCAACAACCGTGCTGAGCTTGGAGCAGCTATTTCCACACTTGCCTCAGATGAGACTGCAGTCCCAAATGCTACCTTTATGGCAAGTTTATGAGACTAAGCATAGGATGCGCTCATGCCCATGCCCAGATGGCTGCCCCACAAGTGTCACAGCTATACTGTCAAGCAGCAATAGGTAATCTACAGCCTCTTATTTCACTGGTGTATACAAATATCTTCTTCCAGTTTGTCCTATTACTATTTGTTAGTTTTAAGACATCCAGAGTCTGGGACATCATAACACAGAGTCTTAAATGGAAGAAGCCCTTTCTATTTTTAAAGTCAGAAGAAATTTTAAAGATACTAGGTAGTAGCACAGCAATGGACAAAAGTTTTCTGCACAATGTGCAGTTTCTTTTTGAAAATTGCCTTCTTGCCTCAGCATAAAGTACTACCACATTTCCCACATTGGATGGAACACAGTGGGCTGTAATTAGGGGCTTGATTCATGTCCAGCAAAAACAGTGGACGTGGCATCCGGCCTAAGCCAGCTTCCATGGAGCTTGAGGTCCCATTTCAACCCAGTGCTGCATTCTCTGCATTCTGCTTATACCGCAAGACTGTTGATGGGGTCCCTGTTCATGGGCCTCAGGAAAGGCTATAGCACCTGCCCATGTTCAAACTTGATGTCTAGGCACTCCTGATGTTGTGGGTGTTTGCTATCCTTCCAATACATTTATTTTGCTTCATTTGACAATCATTTCTGTGAGTGGTATCCAAAGAACCCTTAAGAGATCATGGAAAGAAACCCAGAGCTGAATCCTTCCCATTCTCAAACCAGCTAGCCACCTGATTCCAGGACTTGGCAAAATTCAATAGAAGATAAAATGGAAAAGGCTTTTAGAAATGCTTATCAGAAAATGCAGATAACTTACCTGTGTTCCTGTGAATGGAAAGAGGCACTGCAATTACCTGGAAGGGAAATAGTTGAAATATGAACTCAAGAAACCTGGAACAAAAGACTTTACGAAAAATCTTTACAACAAGTTGCCTCAGCCTTGTCCCCGTCGAGTGATTTGTGTTTCTGTAAAAAAAGGATACGGGGATATTCAGAACTTAGAGCAAATAAGCTGTCTGAGCAATCCTGTTAATTATATAATAGCATGGCTTGACTGAGGATTCTTTACAACATTTATCACCGACTGGTAGCCTTTGAATCTTGAGGTCCTAAAATAAAGGAAAATCTTGAAAGGAAAGTGTCACCCATTTAGGCTGAGGAAAAGCAGTATCAACCTCCTAATCAGCTCTTACAGAAGAAATTCTTCATCTCAGTGTCCCAGTTGAGTGAACTCAGGTCAATGACTTGCTCAGATGAATCAACAGTTAAATGAGGACTTTTCATGATTAGAAAAAATTAAAGTAGGGAATATTTTTCACCATCCTTGAACAGCCAAGTAATCTGCTACATTTTTGCAAGCTTATATGTCTAATTATACTTTTTAGAATTGTTAGATTTATATAAAATGAGCAAATCTGATGCATTTCATAAAAATTATTTAACAGCATAATACTTGCCACCCTACTCTCCCCTCAGCCCATGCTCCTAACCTCCTTTCTCCTACCTGTCTTATTTTTCTTTTAATGTTTACAATGACATTATTTTCAGCTTCTTTTTGTAGTCATAATCTTAACCCTGCACTAAATAAAATAATTCAACAAGTACTAAAAAAACAAACAAACAAAAAACAAAAAGAAAACCTTTGTTCCTTAAGAATGTTCACAAGGGATGAAAATGTCCATTTTGCTCATACTGCACAAATCAGAGAAAGCATATGATATTCATCCTTTTGGGAATGGCTCATTTCACTGAGTGTAATGGTTTCCCATTTCATCCATTTTGTTGCAAAAACAATGAGAAAAATCGGGTTTCATTCTTTGTTTATAGTTGAGTAGCTGTCAATAGTGTATATATACATTTAAGTACCTATTTAATTTTAACCATATGTTTAGCATTGTGTTGCATAAAACAATGCTATGATACTACTTTAATAAAATATTTGCTGTGTGTCTGTCCTCTAGAAATTTACCATGCATGAAAATATTCTTATTTCAGAGATAAAGGATCAAAATACTTTCAGAATGATAGCTCCCTAAACACTAATATATCATTATAATTTAGAATGACAATATGACTCCCTAAACAATGTCTTTAAAAATCTATTTGAAAGAGCTACAAAGAGAGATGTAAAGACAGAAAAAAATATTTTTCATCTGCTAGTTTACTCCCCAAATGGCCACAACAGCCGGGACTGTTCTAGGCAAAGGTAGGAGCCAAGAACTTCTTTTTGGTTTTCCACATGGCTTCAGGGGCTCAAGCACGTGGACCATCTCCCATTGCTTCCAAGGCACATTAGCAGGGAGCTGGATCAAAAGTGAAGCAGCTGATAAGTGAATGAGTGCCCATAAGAGATTCTGCATTGCAGACAAACACTCAGCATACTATACCACAATGCCAGTTCTCACACAGAAATACTCCCAGAGGCTCTTGAAGGGGTGAGTATATATATCCCCCTAAGAATTAATAGAATAGGGCCCGGTGCGATGGCGCAAGTGGTTAAGGTCCTCGCCTTGCACACCTGGGATCCCATATGGGCACCGGTTCTATCCCAGCAGCCCCGCTTCCCTTCCAGCTCCCTGCCTGTGGCCCGGGAAAGCAGTCCAGGACAGCCCAAAGCCTGGGGACCCTGCACCCGCATGGGAGACCCGGATGAGGCTCCTGGCTTCGGATCGGCATAGTATCAGCCGTTGTGCTCACTTGGGGAGTGAATCATCGGACGGAAGATCTTCCTCTCTGTCTCTTCTCTCTGTATATCCGCCTTTCC